CTCTTCGATTCTCAAAGTAGACCAGAGGCCAGATACTATGACGTAGAAAACAACCATTGTGTATATACATATGCAATATGATGGATTTCAGTGAGCTATATGTTGGCGTACTTTTTGTAATTATGACCCGCTGCTCAGCGCTCAGCCTTACTATGGCTTCTAAGTTCGAGTTAGTGATGTGGCGCGTTATTACACTGCGCTTGACATCCATGTTGCTATTACCCCCACCTATCACCCTACATCACAATTCTTCTGTTTGCATATTATTTTCATTTTATTCACAACTTGTTGTATAATTCTGCCACATCAGCCTTCAGCATAGATTCTTAACGGTACTACATCGTACATAGCAAACACACGAAGGTTACAGCAAATGTGAGTTTACTATATATTGCCAAACTGGGGTATAGCAATACCATGTGCACACTTGACACTGGCACTTGTTTGTCTTGAAGTTCATCATGCTTATCAGATGGCTCCCACTCAGTCTGGTGAAACTTGTTGTAATGTCAAGCAAGGGTCTGCAATGCAGCGTTGGCTTGCAAAACCTGGGTAAGTCTTTCCATCAATTTTTGGATTTCTGACTCTGACATAGTGTGATTCAAAAGTGTTCATGCTAGGCAAAACAAAAAAGCTCGTATTTGCTCAGCAAAGTAATGTCTTATTTTTTCTATCTGTATAAATCTAGCTCACACTAACCAATACTACAGGAACCGTGAAAAGTAATAGCATCACCTTCTACGTACTAGATCCCTGACCATCATTTCTTGCAGGAGGAGGCTACTAGCTGTGGCCACCTGTGAGTCAAGCAATACCGTAGGATCTGCAGTTGTCCCCTCACCTGGTCCGCAACCATAAACAATGTCTGACTCCGGCACTCCTGCGTATTTTGATGAAAATAGTGTGGCATCACCACTGCCATTTTGTCTTGTGCGAGTTGGGATCATGGGCTGGCAAAAATAGTGGGGGCCGGAGAACACATGGGATAAAGTGTTTCATGAAAGGTTGCAGCTAGCTAGTGAAAAGGGCCAGGACAAGCTGGACAGCTATCTTGAGGAATGCGAGAACCATACTAAGGTTGGGCGCAGCATCCTCCAGCAATAAAAGTTTGTCTTGCATGCACTGTATACCAGTGAAGATGGTGACCTCAGCCAACTTAAAGATATATTTCTCCAGGGGTTTGATCTCATAGAGAAAATCATGTCAGAGGTCAGGTTTTTTGAGGTGAAGTTGGACCAATATGCTCCTGTTATCCCCAGCTCCAGTATATGAAGTATTCAATGTTATAATGCCAACTTATAATATTTTACTCAGACTCATATTTTAATCTTGTATCACTAGCTTAATGTTCTTCAGTGGTAGGGGTGTTTTCAAGTTGTCATTTTCTATACTGCACAGTCACAGTCTCGACTTGGACTCGGGAATCTCTGGACTGTGACCTCCCCAGACGTGTGGCAACTTGCTCAGAGGCAAATAGACATTCCTAATCAGGAAGTCTCAAGCTCTGGTCATTCCTTCTGAGTTGTGTGAGTCGTGTCTTGCGAGCAAATTGTAAGCTAACCACTGTAATGTATTATATAGGGTGCATTGTGCGGGCTTCTGTATTGCAGGTACTACTTGGTTTGCAAAACGAGTAGAAATGTGGTCAGTCATTGTCTTCACTCTCTACCTCAATATTAATACAAAGCAGGTAGGCGCTTGAGGCTTGTAGCATGCCTAGACTATCATTATAGTTTAAGGTGGAAAACCGGACGTCAAAGTTTTAGTTCTGCAATGACATGTTCTGTGAGTTGGCAGATGGTTGGCAAGAAATACCTTCGTGTGTGGGTGAAGCATAGAGTGAAGCGGCATAGTATGCTGCTCACTTGTCATACTATTGAGTCTCCATCTAATTTTGTGTACATTTCTACCATTGTACATCTCTCACCCCTCTATGGTTTGTTTCTGAAATGCAGGAGAGCCTCTGTCCAAATTAATAGGTTGCTCAATGGCCTTGGAAGAGACGTCTGGGTAAGTTTCAATGTATATAATGTTGGATAATTGTTGGTGACTACGCATTGCTAGGATACTTGGAACCTTGGTTGTGAATGCCTAATAACTCATGACAAATGACAGATTGTGTCCTCAACAACTTTGGACACTGGGTATGCTCTCGCCCACATTGTGTTCATTCCTTTGCGCCTAGACTACTGATGATATTTTAATATAAGTTGCTGTCTATCAGTTTCTGTCAGAATGTCCAGCGCATGTCTCAACCTTTAGTGCAAAGTATAAAACATCACGTGATTACGGCATGGTTTGCAGCTAGACGTTTGCAAAATATGCAAGATTTTTGAAACAAATGGCGCGGGTGCTGGCGGTATTCCAATCAATAAACAATATTAGCATCATATATTGACTGGGAGTTGTGTTTCATACACGAATCCAGCCAACTTGTGGTCTATACTTTGCTCATTTTTGTTCACTCGCTAGGCAGCAGCTGGCTCATTTTTCAAAAATCATGTTTGACAGCCTTGCAGATATAAATCCATGTGACTCTCCAAGATTCGAGGGGGGAGGTCACCTGACAGAAGGGGGACTTTCATGTGGTGACAGAACTCAAATATTGTCGGACAATCCAGTACCCAACTGTTGGCAGCCTTCACACCCCGATTACACATGGGGCAACAACTATGGCAGTAGGGGTACCCCTACTGAAACTCATCCATGGTATCCCTGTGGTGAAGTAACTCTGCTTGCATTCTCAGTTGTGCCACAACCTAGACAGGATGACAGATTCATCAACATCAGGAAAAACCCTTTTGCTATATAGTGCTATATAGCCACCACCTATATATATAAACACATTCATAGAAACTATAGTACTATCAGTGCAACCATAGCTCTTATAGCACAGTAGTAGGCAAAATTTTAACCAACGGGAGAAATATCTATAATTCCCTTAAACTCTGGATTAATCTAGAAGTGTTTGGAGTCAAGTATATTATTATAGGCAAGGAACTATAAAGGCTCTTATAGCCTATAGCAGCCTACATAGCTCCTATAGCTGTAAAGATCATAGTTATAATATAGTTCAACGTGCTTAAAAGGGCTAATAAATCATACAGTATTAATTAATTATGTAGCCTGTAGTAGTGAAATAGTAGTTTGTATCCCTGATACTCACAAAATAAAAATAATGATTTATCCAAATATAAGTAGTGACAATGAGTAAAACAATAATCTAAGTCCATAAAAGGTCAATATATAACACCTGTATAATACATTTTATAAGCTCTCATTGTGTAGTGGATAAATGTGATGTGTAGCTGTAGGTTGCTTAGTCACCCAAGAGCTGACTAGCAGGTTGAGAGTTCAAATCCTGTCTGTGTTAATTTTTTTCAATCAGCCACACAACAATTTCCAACATCTATAAGAGCATTTATAGAGCTATATGAGGCTCTATAGATGGCAGAGGTTCTATAACAGGTTTGACCACTATAACATCTTTATGAGTACTTATAGTGCTATAGAGCTCCCCATTTTTCCTGATGAATATTGATTTGTATTACTTAAGAAAAAGTATTTTATTGGGAGTCCACTGTCATCATCCCCATCACCGTCACTGTGGCAAACCATTGTTTACTGATGTTATGTTCCAGCCATTATGGAGAGAGAGCGAGGGACGTTCAAATTTTCGAGTCATGTGATGTGTTTTATTTTTATTTTATTTTTGTATATCATCTCAACGTCAAAGCACTAGGATAAATCCCTCCTCTCTCGAAATAGAGGGTGGGTAGGAGACTGGTTCAGATTTGGCTTTAAGAAAAAATGCAAGCTGGCTAACTCAGCCAGAAACTTGGCATACAGAAAATGTACTAGACATATGTTCCACATTTTTACTTAACAATTGGACTAGCAAGTTTGCATACCAAACAATCTGGTAGTATTAGTAGTGGATAAAATATCATTTTTATGACATGTATAGATCACTATAGGTCACTATAAATCAATATAAATCAATATAATGCACATTTTGCTATAGTTGCTATAATTGGTAAAAGTTCCAATTATATCTAATTATAGAAAAATCATGTTTTCCTGATGTTAATGTGACAACACCAACAAGACATAGTCTTGGGGCACTAGAGCACAATGAAAACAACACTCAAAAGAGTAAAGAGAAGGAGGGATTTCCCCTCAAGGTGCGACCGAGTTAGTTGTTGGTAGACAATAGGAGGACTCGCTGAGTCCTTCCCCATGTATTGCTCCTGTATATATACTAAAATACATGAGGTACTGTACAGTTGTAAATAAAGTTTTAAGTCCGATGTTTAGCATGTGACCAGTCACATGGTGAGCCTAGACACTGGTCAGATGATGTGTCACATGACTGGTCATGTGACTTGGAAAAAGTAAAAGTAAAAAGTACAAAAAGCGAAGCATAAGTAGGTGCTGGTATGTCAATTGTAACACTTAACCACATCCAGCAAATAAGGCCGAGTATCAATACTTAAGCAATCAGTGACCCCACATTATGGCACATGACCAAATAGGTGCACACTTATGGAATGTTTGAGAAGGAATGGCACGTGTTTATGCACATGACTTGAGATATATATGTGATTGGTCAACATCTTATAGTGTGATTATTGTGCCTTCTACTGCAGATAAGTCATTACTTACCTCTGAGCCAATAGCATTAACAACACTTGATTGGTAATAGTCAGAGATAGGTCATTTCGGCTTTGTCATGATTTATGTCATTACTGATGAAAACAATTTACCTTTTGTTCTAATTCACTCACTCTATAAATAAATAAATAAAATTGCACTAATTATACATTACAAATGGTATTAATGGCACTGAAGAGATGCAAGTCAAAATTGGTGTTGGACTTCAACTTTTCAGAGTCCCAAATCTGCCAATACCTTAAGCTCTCCTCAAGCCCACAAAGTATTGTTTACTTCTCCCTACATATCCAGAGGCCCAGGAGTCACAGGGCCTTGTTGCATCAGCAGCATCCAAGCTAGTGGATGCTTATATAGTAGGCCATATAATATGTTTTCTATAATATATTTTTGCTTTCAATTTGCCTGTTTGTAGCCCACAGTTTGATCATGTTACAGCAGACTCCAGCAAATAGACTTGAACAGCTGGATGCAAACACCACTCCTCATCAAGAGGAACCTCCTGAGCTTTAAATATAAATAGATCCCCCCTCTCAGACCCTTTATCCAGGAAACCTAAGTCCTACAAGCCATTTGACAAGGATAACCTCCTGATTACGGTGTGTCCAGTTATAGTTATGATCTCAATTAATGTTTTTGATATTTGCAATTTAGAAACACCAATTTTCTAGTCGTTTTTTTCATCTTGAATCCCTTTGGTATTATGAGGAAGCTGGAGCTAAAACACAAAAAAAAATGGAAGTAAGCATATAAATAGACAATGCATAAAAATGTGGACTTACAATGATTTATTGTATGGCTGCCAGATCATCCTTCATTGGAATTTGTGGAAGGACAGTTAAAATACTGTTGTTGTCTGCAGACCTGGGAGTGCTACATATACAAAAATGTGCTGATCTATGTGGGACATGAGGCTTTGGAGAGTTTCCTAGGAAGTTAAAATGTGACAAGGCAGGCAGAGTCAGAGTTGAGGTCATGGTTTGTAGTACTGGCAAAGTGTTAAATTGAAAAAATACCATAGTACAACATTCAGGTTGAAGATAATTCAGAAATAATCAGTATCACTTTAATGATTCAAGTGTTGTCATGATGAGTTTCCTTACAGGCCACGGCTGAAGCTCTCATATTGGATGGCTATGGTTTTGGTTTGAGGTATCCAAAACAAGCCTCATCATCAAGGAAATCAAGGAAGTCCATGCACAACTAGCATTGAAATTTAGCATCTGAATCTGTACATATTATAGTAATTCTAATTTCATAGTAGTGACTATTCAGTATCTGTTTTGGGCAGGTTTAGCTGAATGGCATTGAGGTGTTGGCTTGAAGAGAAAAAATTCAGTGCTTGCTATACACTCAGCAAGAGAGCCCAACTCACATCCCCTTCCTCCATATAATCTTGCGTATTTGTTTTAATGTAGTCTTTTTGACTGCATCCCCTTTTATTTTTTGCAGGAGTTGTAAGGCGGCTTTATAGTAGACTCCAAGCATGTGCTTGGAGAATTTAGAATGCAAGCAAAAGCTTTTGACCCAGGAGCAGATTTCATACTCCACCTAAAAAGAACAATGATGATTAGTGTTTGTGATTGTTTAAATATCAAACAAAAGTGCATACACAAGCAATGCACATAGCTAAAGCAGATGTGGGAATTCTCTTTTGTCCCTGTGGAGAATATATCAACTGGCGAGTAGCAGATTGGTATTGGGTGAATATTAAGAAATTGACACTGATTTTGACTAAGTCACTAGAGAACTCATGCATACTGCGTTCTTGTTCATGGAATCTCCCCAAGCAAACATCCTTGAGGTGTAGCTTTCAGCTTCTGATTTAATCCAAGATGCCTTAGTATTGGCCACAGTAGATCAAGATAGTGAGCAACAAAATTGAGGTAGCTTTTGAGCTTACCTCAAAACTAGCAAGGGAAACTCTTAAAATGATGTTGTAAACACTAAAAATGTGTTAAGTACAAAGCAGTGGCAAGGTGGAACTATTGTACCTCATATTTGCTATTACCATGTACTACTGCAAGTTGAACCAAAATTAGTGCTTATTAGTAAGGAACTACTGACAAATGAGAATACAAACCATCATGAAACATGTCTATAGAATTCCCTAAAATGCCTTCTGCAGACTTCTCACATATTTTTTTTATGGGACCAAGTCATCAGAAATATACCAGGCTTTTAATACATCTTACCTAGTGTCCTTTAAAGCCCTGATGAATTCATTCTTGGACATGCATGCAATGAAAGCAAATGGAGCATAGTCATCAAGGTCCATCATGTGCTTAACCCCTAAGCCAGAGGGGACTGTCAATGGTGTAGCCTGATTATGCAGTACTGGCTTTGGTTCTACATGAATTGTGTTGGGTTCTTTCACTACTGACAGGAGGCCATTAGGGGGGTCACCATCTTAACTTGAGATATCTGTTAAAGGGGTGAGAGGGCGGTTAAAAAGGAGAAATGGGGATATTGAAGCAGAGTTGGGACTCTAGCAAACACCATGATTATCAACAAAAAATTCTGGTTCAGTTTTGATTAATGGCTCTGTACTTAGGCTAAGACCATGACTATAGAGTTGGTCATTGTCTGTCCATGTTAAAACAGTGCCTTTGTCAGAGCCTTGCAGTGTTGAGGTTATGCCTGGGACTTGACTGAGAACAACAAGGAATGACCTTAACATAGTTACTCTTCAATTGATTTCCTTTGTTTTTTGTGTGGCAATCATTTTACCATGAGGGTAGTAGAATTTCAATGCCTAAGATCAGAATCAGGATATGGTGGTGAGCATAAGGTCAGAAGATGGTCTCACCACTGAATTCTTGCTTATGTGACAGGTCAAGTATAGTATCCGTCACAGAATTTGGCCAACACACACAAATCCATATTGAATTGTAAGGAAGCTAAGAAATATAGTAAAATCAAAGAAGATCTTGCTCATACTTGTCTTACTGTTGAGTGCACTAGCATACAACAGAAGCAATGCGTCAAAAATTCCAGGATATCCCGCTTTGTGCATATCTGGTAAGTGTCATTGGATCTAGAGTTCAAGTACGGGTTTAGATAGCAAAACCAAAACTTATAATAATCAATTGTCTGCTCTAAGTCTGCATACAGCTCCTGGTTCACACTGTGGTCCAAAATCTCTTAACTGGGTGGGCTGGTGGTTTGTGCTGGTGGTTGGATATGCAAATGCACTAGGGAATAGTTCTACAACTCACTGTCCATATACAACAATGTTCAACCCTTGTGGTGGTTTGTCCAAGCCGAGCCTGGCTAACAGGAGTATGAACTTCAAGTGTGGTTGCTGCCAGCAAGTAAGTCCGCAGTATTCATTAAGATAGCCTGTGTAGAGTCTGGTCTGACTTATAATAAAAGTACCTACCAGGTTTTATTATACATATATATTTACTTATTCTCCATGTCGCCAAAATAATGTTCAATGAACTTACAGTATTGTTTTCTGAGCCTAAAAGCCATGTAGAGTGTGTTTTATTGATAAAGCAATATAGTCACTTGTTTTGTAGCCTGGGGTTCTACCATTTAAGGTCTTTTAACTCAGAAGCTACTCTGCAAGCCAAATTCCTGGCATTTTTGTAAATATAGTAGCTACCGGCCATTTGTGGCCCTCAGAGCAAAAACTTAGGTAAGGGTGTGTACTATTGTGATGTTTGTCAGTCATATTGGTAACATTTGTGCAGCCACACCTTGGTCATCAACTATGACCATGACCAAAAGCTGAACAACTCCCAAGTAGATGTTAAGATCAACATATGCTCAAAATGAAGATGTGCTATAATGCAGATGAGTAAATTCATTTTTGTGGTAGTGAATTAGCCATGGATCTGACATTTTGACTTTGTATGTAAAAGGATTACCTGGTTTGCAGCACTACTGTTTGAGCCATCTATTATAACTGCAGTATGATTGACACATATTTGATCACAGGAACTTCTATGCCAGAAAATATGATCTTGATTGAGTATCTGTGTTTTAGGACATTACATTTTGTTAAAAATGCAAAATTTGGCTATGGTTGGTCCTGGTGCATAAGGTATGAATCTAGCAGTTATACTAGATTCTCATCTGATTTCCTGCTTTTCTTAGTTTTTGGTTTGTTTAAATCAATACATTGTTGCTATTCTGTAATATCATAGTAGAGTACACTTTGTACATGTGATGATGTAATTGCCTTGTTATTACTGCAGTGCAAAGAAAAAGGTATGTTTGAAAATATCCCATGTGGCTAACACCTGGTGTCAATCCCAAACCTGATGATCTGTGAATATTCTTGGATCTCATTCAGCTCAACACAACTTGCCCTATCACATTCATGTTGTGCGGCTACAAGATGTTCGCCCTGGGACTTGGCCTTGGCATTTGCAGTAACTCCGTAAGTTATTCTTATTCTTGCATTTTTCACTGAATGCCCCACTAATCTCTCAAACTTATAGCTGTACCCACTGTTGTTACAGTGTATTAAGGATGCACAGGCACTCAACACAGTAAGTATTGATCCAACCCATGATACCTAACACTGCTGACACTGACCTTATCATTTTAGCCCATAGCAAGTGCCAGGGTCTCTGGATAGTCAGTATATAATCTGTGTCTCATCATAGCCTGATTTTTCACCGGCATTTTTTGACACAGCCAATAATGCCATTGTAAAGAACACATTCAATGGGGTAGGTGGTAATTAGTACTACATTACCAACAGTATCATCAACAGTACATCACATACATGCGTGCCCAGAAAAATGTTAATATTGTGTCTGTGCAAGTAAAAGAGCAAGGGAAAAACATCAGATAAATAAATAAATTTCTTACAAGGCCTGACCTTGTAATGAACTATTGAGCTAATTTTCTACATATTTAAGCTAACAATATTCTAATCTTTAGTGGTATTTATTTACTGGGGATATAAATGCCAAGGATGTGCTCTTGGATTATACAACATTTACGGGATCTCTGATAAATGCACAATTATGGCAATGTGCATTTTTACCGCCAAATGTGCATGACAACTGGATCTAGGTAGGCATATATCTAATTTTGCTAAAGGAGTAGCTAACTTTTATTTATAGATGCTTAGGTCAAGGAAAAACCATGTCAATTAGATTGGCCGGTAACTAATAGGCCTCCTGTATCTTTTTCCAGCCCCAGATGAGCAGAACAGGAACTAGGGGGCAAGGAGCAACTCAAAAATACTTCTGTTAACCAGCAAATCTTTGTATTGTTGAATTGGCACAAAAAATCCTTTTGCAGACATGGAGGTTTGCTCAACACAAACATGAAGATTCACATCATTTGCAGGCTGATTTTTTTTCAATTGTCTGCTTTGGGCTGGCCTGCTCTTATTTTGTCTGCTCTTTCTTTACTCTTTCCTCACTTGATCCAACTTCCTTAGCCTCTCCTATGATCCCACCCCTTTGGAATATAGAGTAAATCCTATGTATATTGTTTTATTGATAACAATCTCTAGATGCAGATGATTCAAGGTGGAGGGCTCAAAAGAGCCTAGCATAGGCAGCCTGTATATGACACTTCATAGTAAGTAGTTTATGCTATGCACAAAAGGCATGACACAGATATATTCATTGGGAGATACCGCTGTCTTGTTGATACAGTGTTTGATATGGGATAGCTACCAAAGCTTCTTTATCCTAGGGTTACCGGAAGTTTACAACCTAAGCTAGACAATGTGTAATAACCTAGTTTGTTCGTGGGGTGGAAGTTAATTATCCCTTTTGTTGTGAGTATGTCAATAGTCCTTGTGCTCTGGATGACTGACTAGCTTCAAGATATAGCCAACACTAGGTGTGGCAATGATAGTCCTCACTTGTTGAGAGACTAATAGAATAAAGATAATAGTGTCCTACACTTGATAAATGACAAGCTATGATACACTGATGGTTGATAGAAGGGTGAAGCAATACTTCACTATGCTTCAGTGACTGACTGCAGATGAGCTTACACCAGATCAATAGATGACTGATATAAGCTTGAGATGGACTATAGAATACTAGAGCTACTTGTGGCAAATAATAAACAATCACAGACTGTAATCACACTTGGACTACTGTTATCTGTGACGGACGTGACTTGATGACTAGGCTTCCTAGGGTGGGCAATACCTCTTGTATGCTTCCTAGGCGAAAGCTAGTTGACTTCTGAGGGGTTGTCCACTTATGTGGGGACTGCTTGTAAGGATAAGCTTTTTTATTTTTATTAGGTGGAAAGTTGGCCTCCTTATATACTTTTTGGCTATACCTTCCTAGTTGGAAATTACAAATGGTAGTACCAAAATATCTAATGAAATTCAAAAGGCCAGAATCATCTATTGGGAATCTAGATGATTCTAGAGTGGTTTTTTTGAGACTAAGAAAAGAAAAGCAATTTGAAAATGTGGAGCAAAATATAACTCAGTCAGGCACAGTGTTCTATTTATAAGAAACAAATGCCAATTCAGCCTTCTCCACAGTAAAACAACAATTTTGGAGAATTTCTTATTTGGAAGCCCTCCAAAAGTATCCAGACAGATAAGGGCGTGAAAGTATTACATACTCCCCAAAAACCGGAGTGATTGGTGAAGTGGTTATTGAGAAAAAGGCAGATTATTTTGTGGGAAATTCACTTTCCCTTTTCAGAAACTGACCATGTGTAAGCCATGTGGTCAGATTTCAGGGTGGCTGCCAGTGGCTGACAGTAAGCATGATACAAGCATTCTTGATTGGCTCATATCTCCAAAACTAGCGGTCATCAAAATATAAAATTTTGTGACATAGTACTTTGGAATGTGTACTTCAAGATGAGGTACTTTTTGCGGGGTATAATATGTCATGGAATGCCATGTCCATACATGAAACATTTTTCATGTATGACACTGCATACTGCATGTGTCCTATTTCTCATGCCTCTTTTATACCAGTCTGTACTTCAGGAAACAGATAATCCTGGAAATACAGACCCAAAGAATGACATAATTCCTGGGTCGTTGAAGAAACAAAAAGGAAGCTTCTAAGGTGCTGACATATGTCCAAATTGTCCACTTCAGACTCAACAGGAGCTTTTGGAGATGGTCAGTGCTAGTAAGCATATTTGTAATAACACCATTTCCTCTGCACACCACTTGTGTATTTTATGCAGCATCTCCATCACCTCTCAGAATATGTTTTGAACTCTCACAAGGCTAGTCTTCATCAAAAGATATATACTCATTCCTGTTATGATAGTGAAGTTGTCAATATATATAATACCTTGTCTACAAAGGAGCTTGCAGTACTGGTCATAATAATCCAAGTTGAGCCTCTCATGATCCATCGAGATCAATAGAATGCCAATGGAAGGATACTTGATGGGATGTATCTTGATGTCTGGATACATGTCAGACAGACTCATTTTGGCACTGTAGGTTGTGTTGTACATTGCAGCTTTAGCAATGTAAGTCCAACCTTGATGTGTAAATGATGGCAATGGCATGTGACCTCTCAAGTTCAAGTTTGTACTCTGTAGCATATGTCCCTCATCCTTCCTCCCTTCTGGTACATGGTGTTTTGCCTTATCTATATATTAGGTTTGTCTTCAGCATTCCAAATTAAATGCTTACTATATTAACTGTGGAAGTGGCTTTTCTAGTTATGTTGCTCCTGAGAACTGATTCTCTCAATGGCCAGAGCAAGTGGCTTTGATAGGAATAATATAGTCTCTGGAATGGATCAGAATTTTGGGGAAAACACAGAATCAAGTGCATCTTTACTTGCACCATTTTCCAGCTCAGGAATATCCATTGGTACTTTTCTCCTGACTAATATACTCAGATTCAAACTCTATTACTAATCAGTCTTTATCAGTGGATGTCAGAAGTGCTCACTGGTACTTCCTTCTTATAGTATCTATGTAATAAAACTAAGTGAAACTACAATAGATGTTAGTTTAAGGTGATCTCTAATAAATGTAATGTAACATACCTCAGCCGCTGCCCGAGAGGCTATAGAAACGACTGAGGTATTCCTATACTAAACCCCCTACTACTTATAGTCGGAGGTGCTACTCACTACAGTATCATGACTCCTAGGAGAACAATGGTTACTCCATGGAGTGGTGGCTATGCTCCATGGAGAACAATGGCTGCTTCGCCAGAGACCGGGTTTATCCGGTTTTGTCACTCCCACTCGAGTGCAACCATAGTCCCATAGCTTTAGAGAATTTCCAGTGTTTTTCATGAGTGAGGGGTTTAGTGAGAATGTTTGCAACCATATCTCCTGTAGGAACGTATCTGATTACTGCCTCTCCCTTTGATACTAAGTCATCTTGCATAAAATGATATTTCCGTTCAATGTGTTTTGTGCGAGCACGAAACTGTGGATCTCGTGTAAGAATGATAGCTGCTTGATTGTCACAGTGCAATGTTGTAGGTCCATTTTGAGCATGTCCAATTTCTTCGAAGAATGTCCGAAGCCATGCAAGGTGTTGTCCAGCATTGCTCAATCCAATGTACTCTGACTCCGTGGAGGATAAAGCTACCATGCTTTGTCTTTTGCTTGTCCAGGAGATTGCTCCTTGGATGGTGATAAAGACAAACCCTGATGTTAATCAAGACGTGTCTGGGTCTCCAGACCAATCTGCATCCGAATATCCATAGAAATCCATGTCCATGAAGACATCTGTGCCATCATATTGTAGTTCCATGTCCCTGGTTGCTTTCAGATATCGGAGGACACATTTTGCAGCTTCCCAGTAATGGCTCCTTGGAGCTGAGCTATGCCTGCTTAGTATTCCAACAACGTAGGCAATGTCTGGGCAGGTTCTGAGCATGGCATACATGAGGGAGCCTACAATTGAGAGGTATGACACTTGACGCCCTTCAATATGCATCTTGTGTTGCACAATATCTTCCTCTGGAGCATTTGCAAGGAGTTTTGATCCATGGGCCATTGGTGTCCATACTGGTTTGCAGTCCTTCATTCTAGTACGCTCCAGGACTCTGTCAATGTATTGGCGTTGCAATAGGGATATTGTTTTGTTTGAACGATCACGTTGGATTTCTATTCCGAGCATGTATTTTGCTTCTCCAAGGTCTTGCATTTTGAATATGGATTCGAGTTTGGCTTTTGTGATATCCATGAATTTTTGGGATGAAGCTCCTAGGAGGAGGTCATCTACATAGACAACAACAAAGCATATTTGTTTGTTGTCACGGAATACATAGAGACATGTTTCTGCATTTAGTCTTGTGAAACCGAGCTCCTGGAGCTTGCGATCAAAAGTTTTGTTCCATGTACGACCAGCTTGTTTTAACCCATAGATGGATTTCTTCAATCTCCAGCAGTATCCAGGTTGGATAGGAACACCCCCTGGAGGAAGCATATACAGTTCTTCTTCAAGTTCTCCATTGAGATAAGCTGTGGATACATCCATTTGATCAAGTTCTAGGTTGTACTTTGCTGCCAGGGCTAGAATAATAAGGATTGACTCTAAGTTTGCAACCGGAGCAAAAACCTCCTGGTAATCAATCCCCTCCCTTTGAGTAAAACCTCATGCAACAATCTGGAGTTTGTATCTCTCAATGTTTCCGTTTTGATCAAACTTGATCCGGAACACAGGTTTTGATGTGATGGGTTTTACTCCCTTCGGAAGTGGAACAGTGTCATATACTGCATTAGTATTGAGACTTAGGAGTTCCTCCTCCAAGGCAGACTTCCATAATTCTCCATCCGGACGTGATAAGGCTTCCTTTAGTGTCCTTGGAAGGTCTGTGTTAGATGGACCGGTACTTGCTATTCCAGCAAAGAATGTCTCCTCTGTATCAGA